GCTATGGTCACTCTGATGGGGGCGTCTGTCTAGATCACTTCCAGGACAGACCTGCATGGATTACAGTGTCACACATTTTATACTGCCAGCAGCTGATGGCAATGCCTTTGCAGCTTCATGGGGAAAGTCTGTGCTTTGGGCACAGCCAGCCAGGAAGCTGTGCACGGCGTGGGGAAAGCCAGGCTGCCCTAGGGCTGGCGGTTTGGTTGTTTCCCAGCATCCTTGTCCCCTGTCCTGCATGGCTCGGGTCCAGTGCCATGGGACCTGCTGGGAGTGCTTGGCAGTGCCCAGCAGTGGAGGTGGGTCTGAGAGTAACCAGCCCATGTGCTCCTGGGGACCGGGAACCAGGCCTTTCAACAGGGGTGGGTAGGCTGAGCTGGGTGCTGCAGGCCGGGGAGGGGAGCAAGGCTGCGGGCGGTGAAGCGGTGCCTTGGTCCTGGAGACTGCTCTGGCTGGAGGGCGCTTGGGGGCCTGCCTGGCATGGAGGGGTTGGCTGCTCCTGCTCCAGCTTTGTGCAGGCTTTGTCCCCAGGCTGGGCTGGCTGACAGGTATCTGGTTTCTCGCTGGCTCCCGCCCCCTCCCAGCCAGCAGCTTTGGGGGAACGCCACTATCCCTCCCCCACCCCTGCCACTTCCATGGCAACAGGGTTTTTAGGCTTCCAGTAGAAAGGCCAAATCTGCATTTAAAAAGCCGGGGGAGGATGTGAGCGGAGCAGGTGGCAGCTGCTGGGAGGCCAGAGCCAAAGGGCCCAAACCAGGCCTAACCCCAGCACTGACCTCCAGGGAGCTGCACCTGCCCCGGGGTGGGGAGGGGCGCTGGCAGGGACAGCCCTGGGGGAAGCACTGCTCAGCTGATGCCTGGGGCTGAGCCCTGGGCGACTGCAGCCAGGTCCAGACAAGAACAGAGCTTGCAGGGAGAGCTTGGCTACTGGACTCGGCTCTGGCTGGCACTGGCCCCGGGAGCACAGAGGGGGCTGCGTTGCCCAAGCTCCTGGGGCCTGCTGCAGAAGCAAGCGTTCTCGAGAGTGAAGGCTGCGGCAGGTGCACAGGGCAGGGCTGGGGGAGCGGTGACAGGGGGCTGGTGTGGCATGGATGCGGGGAGCGTGCTAAATGGGGACTGGGCGCAGTCAGGTTCTGCTGCTGCTGCTGCCTTCGGCCCCTTGGCCCCTGCTGAAGGAGTCGAGCCTGGAGCGGTGGGGCCATGTCAAAGGCGGCTCCTGGGAGAGGCTCTCTCAGCCCTGTCTTGGGGGTGGGGGGGGTGGGAATCACTGCTCAGAGACAAGCCCCAGCTCCCCTCGGGGCTCTTCCTCCAGTGGGCGGCAACAGCAGCAGCAGCACAGGGCCCCATGCTCTGGGGAAGGTGGACATAACCAGGGACCTTGGGGTCCCTGCTCCACCCCTCCCCGGCCGAGTGCCCCTGGCAGAGGAGTGGGTCTGGCTGCAGGCAAGCTCCAAGGCTGCGGGCACGGCTCAGCCCAGGCTTGCTGTTGAGGAGCTGCAGGCTGGGGGTGCTGCCTGGCAGAAGGGCAGGGAGTGGCCCACCTCTGGTTCTGGGACGGGCACAATCTGGGCCCAGATCTGCCCTTCGGCTAATCCTTGGCCCCTTCCCCTTCCACGCCTCCCCCATCCCTGGGGCTCAGGCTGGGGCTCCCCAGAGCCAGCTGCAGCAGCCAGCCAGGCCTCGAGTGGGTTGATCCTGGCCTGGAAGCGCTCGGCCCCGGCATGGAGGCTCCATCTGCTGCAGTTAGTTCCTGGTGGCTGGACAATTGTGCATCTTGGGGGTGGGTGGCAGTGCGGGGGTGGGGGGAGCCAGAGCAGCCTGAGTACAGGCAGCCCCTGCCCCAGTTCCCAGCACAGCTGTAACCCTTGCAGTGCTGGGTTAGCTGTCAGGGTGGGGTTGGCACAGCCTCCCCAACCCTGACAGATGCTGGCTGAGCCCAAGCAGCGCTGGGACAGGGAAGCTTTCCCTGGGATCCAGTCTGATGCCCTGGGGAGTGGAGGTCAGAGGCCTCTCCTGCAGCTCCTTGTCCCCTGAGGAAGCCCCAGCCCCTCCCACATCTCCACTTGGGCCTCAGACGCCAGCTCCTGTCCTTCTGCTGCCACCCACCCTGGGCCTCTCCTCCATCTCCATAGAAACCTGCTCTCACCAGCCAGGGAAGACGGGGGGTCTCATTGGGACCCTACTGGGTTGTCAGAGCATCTCCCAAGTACCCAGAATCCCCATAGCCTCTGTGGGATGAGACGGCTCCATTATCCCCATTACACAGGTAGAGGAACTGAGGTAGAGCCGTGGACCTGCCCATGGTCCCACCATGGTTAGCACTGGTCTCCCATCACCAGGGCTCTTCTCAGCCCCTGCTCCCCTGGCAGCTCTTGCACTTGGCTTAGTGAGCAGGTGAATGCTCCAGCGGTGAGTGTGAGGTGCCCTGTGTGTGGGGTCTCGGGTGCAGTGGCCTGCGTTGACGGGTGCCGGGTGGGCAAGCTTGGAGGAAGCTGATCCTCTGCAAGTGTGTGATGGGCCAGTGACAAGGGCTCTGCTGTGCTTCCCTGCAGCCTACGCCCAGCTGCAGCCCCACCAGCTCCTGCAGCAGCAGAAGCAGATCCAGCACCAGTTTGTGATCCAGCAGCAGCAGATCCAGCCCAGGCCTCAGCCTCAGCTCATCCAGGGCGGTGCCAGCACCTCACCCCAACTCCAGCCACTGCCCTCGCCCACGCCCAGCCTGGCTGTGCAGCCCAGCCCGCAGGCGCAGGTCCAGCTCCAGGGCCATGGTGCCCCGCAGGCCCAGGCCTCTCTGCCCCACCCACAGCCATGCCAAGCCTCCAGCCAGCACAAACCTGGCACCAGCCAGCCCTGCCCGCCTACTCCACACATCTCTGGGCTCCAGGCCGTGGGCCCAGCGCCACCCGGGGCAGAGGGTGGGACTCAGAATGGACACCCTGGGTGCCTGAACCATGCTGCACCACGCAAGTTCCAACATGCCTCGGCCGTGATCCTGCAGCTGCAGCCCGCCGTCGGCACGGTGAGTCCGAGCAGGGCAAGGACAGTGGCACTGCCTGCCTGAAACAGGAGACAGGATGTGCAGGTGAACGGTCTGGGGGCTCCTCTAACTCAAAGGAGGAAACGGGGTGGGGGTGAAATGGATTCCCCTTTGCTTGATGGCTGCCAGCAGCTGCAGCATGTCCTCATTTGCTTCCTGCCCTGCGCGGCTGTGGGGCAGCCCTGCCTGCTGCTCAGCACTGCGTGGGAGGGAGCCTGCAGTCCAGAGCCGTGTGACGTGGCCCCTGTGTGTGTGCGTGTGTGCGAGCGCTGGGATCCCCTGAGGACTCCGCACACGGGCTGCCTGACACTGCCTCTTGCCTCTCCTGACAGCCACAGCTCGGCATCGCGGAGAACTCCAGGAAGGACATTCTTCCTGCCGATAAGAGCTCGGAGAGCCTGCCAGCGCAGCAGCAGCAGGCAGCTGCCCCAACGCCCCCGGCCGTGGCCCCAGCCCCGGAGGACACAGAGTGCAGGCGGCCCCCGGCTCCCGGTAAGGAGCGTCTGTTGTGCACGGAGCAGGGGCGGGTGGAGCTGTCTTAGCGACGCCGTGACAGCCTCGGGCCCGGTCTAGGAGACGTCACGTGTCTGCTCAGCAGGGAGGTGCACAGGCTGGTGAGGAAGTGGGTCAGGGCGGCTTGGCTGGGAGGGCTTGGAGGAGGGAGGTGTTCTCACAGCCCAGTCTAGCTGTTTTCTGGGCATGCCTGTGGCGTGAACAGTGTCCACAGGCCTGGTGGGGAGAGAAGCATGAAGGCATGGGGCTTGCTGGGCCCAGGGGTGAGCTGCATGGCACAGGGCACCATAAGGGTGCCTGCCCTTGCCAAGCTGGTGGGCGGGGGTAGGCAGGGCAGGCCCACGGTGCAGAGCGTGATGGATGGCTGCAGCTCAGCACACCACAGCTCTGGCTGCCCTGGGGCCCTTCCAGCCCATGGAGCACCCTTTTCTTGTCATCCCGGCTGAGCTCCAGAGGTGCAGCACCAAAATTAGCCCATGGCAGAAGGAGGGTGGGAGCTGCCAGGGTGCAAAGGAAGGGAAAGGAGACAGGCCAGGAGGCTGCTCCACCAGGCAGGTTCTGTGTGGAAAGCTTTGCCCTGATGTGAGGGGGCAGAGGAGGTACGCGTGAACATGGGCACTGGCGCCTCCTGACAGCCTCGGGGGCCCCTAAGGACAGGGGCGCCTTCTGAGCTGGCCCTGGGCAGTGGTGTGGAGTGACCTGTAGCTACGTGTTGCTACACACACCGCCCCTCCGGCCCAGCACTAGGCAGGAACCCCGTGTTTGCCCAGCTGGAGCAGCACCGTGGCCCAGGCACTTGGCGTGGGCACCCTGACACTGAATGAACCCTGAGGCAGCAGCACGCCTGCAACTGAGGCAGTGGCACAGAGCTTGGGGCAGGCTTTACTGGGGTGCCTGCAGGCTGCGTGTTGCCCAGACTGGCACTGTGGTTTGTGTGTGATGGCAGCAGTACGGAGGCCCAGGCCTGGCTGCGTGGGGTTGATGCTGGCCTGTGCTGGCTGTGGCACCAGCCCTCAGCAGCAGCCTGGCCTCAGGCTGCTCTGGGATCCGAGGCCAGACTGGGGGCGTCTGCCCTGCACCCGCCACGGGGCCGTTCCAGGAGCTGTGATGAACGTGCTGCACGGTGCCCCTGCCTGGAGCTGGTGGCTCCCCTGCGGGGGGTGGGGAGGCGGGGCAGAGGCGTGTTGGTGCTGAGTCGCTGCACAGCCCTGGGGGTCTGCTCCACAGGCTAGCCCACTTGGGTCTTGTTGTCACGGCAGCACAGACCCGCATCCAGGGCATCCTGAGTCTTGGCTTCAGCACCTCCAGCCACCACAGCGCTGTGCTGATGCATGGGGGGGTGACTGGACACGGGTCGTGGGCCGCATGTGGCAGGGGGCAGCATGGGGGGGTTCGCTGATGCTGCGAGGGCAGGAAATGGCTGTAGGCGCTGTCAGCCCAGGGCAGTCAGCCGTCCTCTTGCCAACGCTTGTCAGCTGCCGCAGAGGATGGGCAGTGACGGCTCCCCCCAGCAGGCATCTGGCATGCGCCCTCGGGCAGGCAGCTTGCTCTCCCGGGCACTGCTGCCCTCGTTTTCTCTCCTAACACCTGATCCTTCCCAGCCCCCTCTTGCCCTTAACCATCTGACTGTGGCCGGTTAGCAGGGCTGCCTGACGGGCCTGGGGTGGAAACGTCACGTCCCTGCAGACACCCGGCCCTGCGTGCCCGTGCGTGTGGCGCCAGCGACACCGTCAGTGGGGGCTGCCTCATTAATGCCATCTGCCCGCTCAGCAGAGCTGGCCCCCCCAGACACGCAGCCCCCTGGGCACGCTCCTGTCTGGAAAAGCCCCGGCGCGGCACAGGCTCCTCATTGTTCCCGTTCAGGGTCGCTGGTCTCCGGGGCTTCCCAGGGAGCCTCATCCCGCCCTGCCGGGGCTGGGAGCAGGGCCGGGGCCCGGGCAGCCCGGCGATGGCGAGGGCATGCTCCGCCGGGGCCTGTACGGAGCGCGCGGGGAGGGTGCTGGGCTCGCGCACTTGGAGCCGGGCGCGCGGCAGGAGGGGCTGGGAGCGTGCGGGGGGCCCGGCGGCTCTCGTG